TATTCATAAGAATGTGTCTAGTCTTTTTTCTGCTAAGAGTAAATTTTAATCTAGGAAGGCGCAGCACATCAGTTTGGCAAGAGAGATAAAGGTCAAAATGGAAAGAGAGATAAAGGTCAAAATGGAAAGAAAAAATCAAAAAAGGAAAAGGTGGCCAAGAATGGAGAAGACTGACTCAGAAAGCAACAATAAAATTGTACAATTTTGACAATAATTATAATTATTTTTCAAAATTCATACACTGACTAATACTCAAGGTCACCCTAATCCACACCCATCCTACTTTTCCTTTTTTCACTCTGATAAAGGGCTAATGCTTGAAACTTTAGCTTCAGAGACTGCATATACTCATGGTGGCCACCTAACATTTATTTATCAAATCAGTTTATGAAACCAAATTATCTCTTAATGCTGTGGCTCCTAGTAAAGTTCGTATTGTGTGATTTAATATGATTTCAAATTTAGGTCAAAGCGTATGCTATTACTGCTGTTGCTGTGGCTATTGATGGACACTTCGTGCAGTATTACTGATCTTATTGACTCTGTATACATGTATTTACCTCCTTAGCTCCTGACAATGGAACTATTGCCTATGTTTTAAGGACAGGGTTCAATACATCTCAGGTAAGATACTCTAAAATGACCATTGGCTATGCATTTTGAAACTATCATGACATAAGATGTAAACCCCTTTTTCAGTTTGTATTCGGCACAGATAGGGATATTTGTAAGTGGCAGGCAAAACACTGGCACAAACTAAGCTTACCAAAAATAATTGATATGGTTTCCTTCTATCACCCATAAGCCTTGAGTACATGGTAGTGGTAATTCCCTATTGACTCTACATTTGCATCTCTTTTGCTGCCTTTTTTTTTTTTCAGTATTTGGTATTTGGGTCAAATACCTGTCTTGTTTAGTCTGTAGCTTAATATAGTGAATCTCTGTCAACTTGTGGCAAATTAAACCAAATAGAAACTTTATTAAATAGTTTATTTTGAGGTTCTTAAATGTGACTTTGTGTAATTGACAGGGAAAACTTCTGCGGACCATTTTATTCGGTGTGAAGCGAGTCACAGCTAATAATTTGGAGACATTTCTCTTCATCTTGTTTTTGTTGATATTTGCTGTTTCAGCAGCAGCTTATGTCTGGGTTAAAGGTAAGCAGATTGAACCAATTTTAGGCCATTTTTCCCCTGAAATTTGAAACGCTTTTAAGATTGAAACCTCAAGAAGCCCTTTCAAAAATTTGCAGCGGAAAACTAAAATCTTTTATCAGCTTAAACAACACAGGGAATTTTTACAAGACAAAAAGTAAGCAGGCACATGTATTTGTTCGATATCTGAAGGTTTAACTTAATTTCATATCAAATTCACATCTTCCAGATCACTTCTTTCACAATAACTTTGCCATTACACACTTAAACCATTTTGTCCTCATTTTAGGTACTACATGTAGGTATTGGTAATAATGTAGTTATAACTTTGATGATGTAATTTTGACGCTGAAAAAGTACAGAACATGTTCAATGTTCGTTGAACCTGTTCAACGTTTTCATGGTATATTTATTGTAATAAGTGTTGCTTGAAGTGAAATCAAGTGATACTTTTGGTAACAATTTGGCGATTTGTATCGTCTTGCTTTTGTGGTAAAAGGCAAGAAGAAGAATAAAATTGCCTGGTATATCGGAGTCCTTTAAGAATGTCTGTTATTAGATGGTATTTAACTCTTTCACTCCTAAGATCTGATTTTTAATTCTCTCCCCCCCCCCAACTGCTACACATTTCCTGGTAAATTAGCTGTGAGAATTTGGTGTTAGAGCAGAATAAGATTCTGCCTGATAAGTTTGAGTACTCTCGTTACCTGTTTTCTGGATAACGTATGGATAATTATGTTAGGAAGAGGTTTCATGTTAATCACTTCCGGGAGTTGTCTCGTGTGAAAGGGTCTCTTCAGTGGTGGCAGATGCTGTATGATTCTACTTAGTTATTGAGATTGGTTCATTTCTCTGTGTTGTTCAGGTACTGAGGATCCCAAGAGAAATCGCTACAAGCTTTTCTTGGAGTGCACCCTTATCTTAACGTCGGTGGTTCCACCAGAACTTCCAATTGAACTCTCTCTTGCTGTGAACTCATCACTGATGGCTCTTCAAAAACTAGGTAAGGTGAGGACGTGGGAACACTACTTTGCTCCTTCTTACCTTCTAACGTTGCGGATGTTGTTTTTTTTTTTCTTTTATAGGTGTTTATTGTACAGAGCCATTCAGAATTCCTTTTGCTGGAAAAGTTGATGTGTGCTGCTTTGACAAAACAGGAACTTTAACAAGTGATAACCTGATTGTACAGGGAGTTGCAGGGCTCAAGTAAGTTATAATTGTTAATGTCTTCGAAGTGTCATAACTCTTAAAGCTAAAGGAAGTAGGCTAGGTATGCATAAGGAATAGAATGATGATGTTATGCTTCTGTTTGTTTTTAAGCTCAGCGGTTTCAGTAGAAGCCGTTAACTGGTGGTTCACTGCCGCCTTAAAGACCCTTAAACCCTTTACCCTCTAACATCAGTATGCATATTCTCTATATTACTCTCTTTACATTTCTTAAGGTGCTGACAAGGAGAATTTGTTTAACAATCTAATGCTCCTTTAGTTGGTGATCATTTTCGTTATTCTCATGGCCACAATGTGTAATACAGGGGTGATATTGTAAGGAGAAATTAGATGTTGTCACTCCAAGGGGTTAAAAGGTTAATTTGTGTGTTTGCCCTGCGAGCAGGCTCTCGTGTTGGGGTTTCTTCTCTACGGCGCAGGCGCAAATTACACCATCAGCAGCCGCTTATGGAAAAAGTCATTGAAACTCATGATGCATCCAAGGGGTTGGCAGTACAGTGCGATCTCGCCAATTGTGAATCGTTTAAAAATATGATTCCCCTCTGTCTCGGGCTCATGCCACTTCCTGTAGAGCTTTATTCTCGGTCATGCTCTATCAGCACTCCCGAACTCCGACTATTCGTGAACTGATTCTTTTTCAGATGGCAGTTCAATTCAGCGGGGTTTGCTCTGTAGACAGTTTCCTCACTTTTGATGTTGGATTGCTTGGTAACTTACTTATTTTCTTGCTTGCAGAGATGATGATGAAGTGTGTGCAGTGAGTGAAATCCCTGATGATACAGCTCATGTGCTGGCCTCGTGTCACTCGCTAGCTTTCCTAGATGATAGTCTAGTGGGTGATCCACTTGAAAAGGCCGTTTTACAAGCAGTTGATTGGAGGCTAACGAGAGGTAAGAATCATCTGTTCCCAGTTCAGCCCAGCGTACTATTGCTTGTTAAAAAAGAAAGAAGTAAAAAGGAAAACAAAAGCTTCGTCTCTTGTTTATTGAGTTGCACGGACTGTTCCATAGTTACGTAATTGTGTGAGGGCTTATTGATTGGTTTTACAATGGATTTGACGCTTCCTTTACCCTTATTCGTGCTGCTCCCCCCGGAGGTTCGTTTAACTGGGTCATTGTATGAGTACCGTAGAGAGATTTCTCAATCTGACTTTTTGACAAGTGTTAGTCGTAAGTCTTTTGCGCTGACGAAGGGCTAACGTTCGAAAAGTAAGTTTGGGAAACCGTCTTTACGGTGGTAAATTTACAATGTCAACTCAGTTGATAAAACCAAATTATCTTGTTCTAGCCCCCGCTCAACTCACTGGCACAGCACCACAGTTTCTTTTAATTAGAAACTTACCCTCTTGATTCATGCGTTGAACAAACGGATCATTTAACTCTGCCTCTCACGGCTATGTAAGGGTCACTCTGTCATTCAGCTTGTCCCAGTGGGTTTCTTGTCTTGATAGTATCTACACAACACTCAATGCAATTGTTATGACTTTGAACACTTTTCTCCCTACAGGTGACATCGTTATGCCAAACAAAGGTAGACGTGTTTCCATGCGCATTGTACACCGCCATCATTTCTCTAGCGCTCTGAAGAGAATGTCAGCCATTGTATCTTTACAAAATTCCGGCTCTTCTTCTAGTGAATACATTGTGACCGTCAAAGGAGCTCCTGAAACTCTGAGACCGATGGTAAGAGTTGGTTCAAATGTTGTAATTTAAGTAGCTATGAAAATTTAGGTGGAATTTTTTTAAGACATGCCTAGCGATGCAGTGTCCCTGAAGTGCTGCATCCTTAGCGTCTAAAAGTTTCTTCTACAAGTCTTGGCTGATTTAAGTGTGAAATTTTTCTTCGTATTTTTTTCTATGTGGCTCAAGAACAGGCCATGAGCCTGGAATAATCGGTAGTTATCAGGGCGATGTCTTGTTCACCGAAACTGTATTTATATATTTATTTTACGTCATAAATTCCAGTACAAGACAGTTCCTAGGAATTACGACGCCATTTACCACAGAATTACTTGTCAAGGAGCCAGAGTTTTGGCGCTGGGCTACAAAAAGATAGGAGAGTTAGCGGCGAGGGAGGTATGACAATTTTTACGAACTATTCTTTTACTTTCTTGTGATCGACTTTATTTCAAATGTTGCTCTGTAAAGTACCAATACAAAACTCGTTCCTAGAAGTATAGATCCTTTTTTTTTAACCAAATATGAAGTAATCCGAAATAATTTTCAAGTGGAAATGAAGAGGTGTCTTCGGAAAACGAGGGTTGCCGGAAAGAAGGTTGACGGGAAACTGATGTGAATCTTGATAAACAGGTTCCCGACTGTTGTCCATTTCGTGCGATCTTTTCTCCAACGTTGCATTGTTTATGAAGATAACGTCCGTGTAGATCGATACTTAACATTAACTGTTTAATTCCGCTCGATAGATCCGTGATATGAAGCGTGAGGAATGTGAATGTGAGTTACAGTTCGCGGGATTTGTTGTGATCGCGTGTCCATTGAAGACCGACTCTAAAGCAGCCATTAAACAGATACAAGAATCATCACATCATGTAAGGATCCACGATTGCTTCAGAGTGTAAAAGAAGTGTTATGTTGTACCGTTACACTTCCGTAGAGTTCA